GGAATCAGGCTCCCTGACGTCAGACTATACTACAAAGCTACAGTAATCAAGATAGTATGGTACTGGCACAAAAACAGAAAGATAGATCAATGGAACAGGATAGAAGGCCCAGAGATAAACCCATGCACATATGGTCACCTTACCTTTGATAAAGGAGGCAAGAGTATACAGTGGAGAAAAGACAGCCTCTTCAATAAGTGGTGCTGGGAAAACTGGACAGCTACATGTAAAAGTATGAAATTAGAACACTCCCTAACACCATATACAAAAATAAACTCAAAATGGATTAAAGACCTAAATGTAAGGCCAGACACTATAAAACTCTTAGAGGAAAACATAGGCAGAATACTCTATGACATAAATCACAGCAAGATCCTTTTTGACCCACCTCCTAGAGAAATGGAAATAAAAACAAAAATAAACAAATGGGACCTAATGAAACTTAAAAGCTTTTACACAGCAAAGGAAACTATAAACAAGACCAAAAGACAACCCTCAGAATGGGAGAAAATATTTGCAAATGAAGCAAATGACAAAGGATTAATCTCCAAAATTTACAAGCAGCTCATGCAGCTCAATAACAAAAAAACAAACAACCCAATCCAAAAATGGGCAGAAGACCTAAATAGACATTTCTCCAAAGAAGATAGCCAACAAGCACATGAAAGAATGCTCAACATCATTAATCATTAGAGAAATGCAAATCAAAACCACAATGAGGTATCACCTCACACCAGTCAGAATGGCCATCATCAAAAACTCTAGAAACAGTAAATGCTGGAGAGGGTATGGAGAAAAGGGAACACTCTTGCACTGTTGGTAGGAATGTAAATTGATACAACCACTATGAAGAACAGTATGGAGGTTCCTTAAAAAACTACAAATAGAGCTACCATATGACCCAGCAATCCCACTACTGGGCATATACCCTGAGAAAACCATAATTCAAAAATATACATGCATCCCAATGTTCACTGCAGTACTATTTACAATAGCCAAGACATGGAAGCAACCTAAATGTCCATCGACACAGGAGTGGATAAAGAAGATGTGGTACATATATACAATGGAATATTACTCAGCCATTAAAGAAGAACAAAATAATGCCATATGCAGCAACATGGATGGACCTACAGATTGTCATACTGAGTGAAGTGAGTCAGACAGAGAAAGACAAATATCATATGATATCCCTTATATGTGGAATCTAAAAAAAATGGTACAAATGAACTTATTTACAAAACAGAAATAGTCATAGATGTAGAAAACAAACTTGTGGTTACCAGGGGCAAAAAGGGCAGGGAGGGATAAATTGGGAGATTGGGATTGACATATATGCACATTATTATATAAAATAGGTAACTAATAAGGACCTACTGTATAGCACAGGGAACTCTACTCAGTACTCTGTAATGACCTATATAGGAAAATAATCTAAAAAAGAGTGGATATATATATATATGTATAACTGATTCACTTTGCTGTACAGCAGAAAGTAACACAAGATTGTAAATCAACTATACTCCAATAAATTTTTTTTAAATATTATGAAACAGAAGCCAGCAGCATATTAAAAGACTAATATACCAAGACCAAATGTTATTTTTGTTTTTGTTTTGTTTTTTAGGATTGTAAGGATGTATCAATTTTAGGAAATCTATTAGCATTGACCACCATACTAATATGTGAATAAAGAAAAATCATAGGGTCATTTTTGTTGATGTTTAAAAGCCAATTAATAAAGCATTCAGTATTTATTCTAAATATCTTAAAAACTCAATAAAATAGAAATAAATATATATTCCTTAACATAATAAAATATATCTCATCCCCAAAGCTAGCACAATGCTTAATAAGGAAACAACTGAAGAATCTCCCATTAAACTAAGAAAAAAGACAGGACTCATTATCACCACTATTATTTAATATTTTCTGGAGATATTAACCAATACAATTAGACAGGAGAAAGAAATCAGAGATATAAAAATAGAAAAGGAAGTAATTATCATTATTTACAAATAATATGATTGCATGACTAGAAAATCCAAGAGAAACAACTGAAAAATTATTAAAAACAATTACAGAATTGAGTAAGAGAAGGTAACTGGGTATGAAATTAATATTTAATCATTAGTTATCTTTCAGGTGTGAAAAACAATGAAGAGTTAAAAGATATAATGAATGATATAAATTAAAATGATATAAAGATACAAACAAACATAAAAGATGCAATGGGAAAGCGATAATATTTTCAGCAGTGATATAAAATATTAAATACTCAGAAATAAGCTTAAGAAATGGACGAGACCTTTATGAAAAAACTTCTAAACGTGGCCGAGCTACACACGTATCAAAACACAAGACTTTAAAAACGGTAAGGAATATCATGTTCTTGGATCAAAAAATTCAATGTCACAAAAATTTCAGTTCTAAGTTAAAATATAAATAGAACATAACCCAATTTTAAAAATACCAGTAGGTCTTCTTGTTGGTAGAGGTGGGAAAGGAGAGACCAGATAAGCAGATTATAAAAATTAGATAGAAAATTAAGTTAGAAAAATTCTTAAAAAGTAAAGAGGGGGACTAAATATTAAAATATTCTAAATCTATAAAAATGATTAGACATTTAAAATATTAACAAATATATAAATTACTATTTTCTAGGAATTAAAATATAAATCTAAAATTTGTCAGGCACATATATAAACAGAATGAATGTACAGAAATAGGCATGCATACACACAGATATATTGAATATATGACAAAGCATTTCAAGTCAACGGTGAAAAGAAGTTTCACTCAACTAAACGTACTGCAATGACTGGTAGACAACTTGAAAAATTAAGTTGGTTCTGTACCTCACACCTTACACCAAAATAAATTTCATGAAGACCAAAAAATTTAATTTAAAACATGAAAAAATACGAATACTGGAAGAAACCATGGGAGAATTTTTTCAGTCTTGGGGTGGAGATGGTCTGTATACATGTCACATAATTATATGAAAACAAAAAGATTCCTGCAAAACAAAAACTACCATAGGGAAAGATGAATGGCAAACTAGAAAAATATTTCTACCTCCTATCACAAAGGACTAATTTTTTGAGTATAGAAAGAGCACCTACAAATCAATCTGAAAACACCACCAAAGACATCAACCCAATAGGAAACGGGCAACTTTATGGAAAGGGAAAAACAAATGTCTCTTGAACATGTAAAAATGTGCTTAACCTCGGTCATGATAAGATAAATATAAATTAAAACTACATTAAGGCCATTTTTCACTTCTCAAATTAGCATCATGTTGTTGGCATGGGCATGAGGAAGCATTTCATATGTTGCTTGTGGAAAGGTATGCTGGTGCAACCTCTATGGAGGAAAATATGGCAACATTTCTCAAAATTGCAAATGCATATACCCTTTGACCAGCAATGCCATTTCTAGAGATTCATCATTTGCAAAATGATGTATGTCCAGGTAGGGTTTGGAAAAAAGATTGGAAATAATCAAAATGCTCACTGATGGAAATCTATGTCAATAAATTCACATAATTATAAATACTGTGCAGCAATTTTTAAAGAGGGAAAGCGCTTTATGTACTGATATGGAATGGTCTCCATGACATACTGGTAAGTGAAAAAAGAAAAATGTAGAACATCATTCGTTGTTGTTATTATTGTTGTTTTTTAAAAAAGGAAAAATAGGGAATTGCTTATATATGCACAGAATATCTGTAGAAGGGTCCACAACAACAAAGCAACATTGGTCAATAATAGATCACTGGGTAGTCGGTGTAGGAAGAAGACTTTTAACTGTATACCCCTCTCTACTCTTTGAATTTTAAACCCTGTGGATGTAATTACCTATCCAAAAATCCTATCCCATTGTAGTTTGGTTACAAACTACAAAAGTGCTTAAATACATTTTTAACATCTACACAGAGGATTTTTTTAAATAAAAATATTTATTTTATATACATAGCTCTGCAATTTGCCTTTTTTTGACATGATGGTATATTATGGACATCTGCCTTTAGGCCCATATTTATAGAACTCATTCTTTTTAATATATAATATTCTATTGTGTAAATTAATCAAAATTCATTCAACCATTTCCCTTTTGATGAAAATTCAGGTATTTTCTTGGTTTTGATTTTTGTTCAGTTTGGGCTTTTTGACATGAAAATAATTTTTCTTAGCTAAAATTAGAAGATATAAATATAAAGGTAAAATAATTAAAATATTGGAACAAAATTGTAACCTCAGCCTGAGGGTAACTTACTTAAACAATAAAGGAAACACAAATGACTTAGGAAAGAGAAGTATATTGTATTTAACTACACACAAATGTAAATTTTCCTTATGGAAAAAAATAAAGTCAAGAGACAACAAAATGAAAGAAACTATTTGTTAAAAAAAAAGAAAGAAAAAATGGCAACAGGTTAATATCTCTAATATAGAGAAAGTTCCTAGAAGTTGATTTTTTTTTAAGCATGCAAAGAATATGAACAGGCAATTCATAGAAGAGGAAATACTAATGACCAATAAATGTATGAAGAGATCCTCACCCTCACTAGTCATAGTTTCGAAGGCAAAACAACAGTGAGGTCTAATTTTTCATCCATCAGATTGGCAAAAATGTAAAAGATAATAACCAGTATTGGCAAGTCCATGAAGAAATGTACATTAAATATTCTTGCTGAACATCTGAATCTCAACCATCTTTTTGGAGAGCAATCCAATAACATAGTAGAAAAAATTTTTAATGTTCATATTCTTTGACCAGCAACCCAACTTAATTTAGGGGAAAAAAATCTGAAAATATAGCCTTTAGTGTCTCTCTATGCCTCTTCTCTCTTTCTCTCTTTTCTCCTATCTTCTCTCCAGTACACCTCATTTAATTAACTGTGTTACTTCCCAGCCAGCTGGACTCTCATGTCCAAGCCCTCCTCCACCTCCATCAGACTCTAGCCAACCGAGGCTACTGCCTGAAGCAGGGGGATGGTCTTGGATCCCTGTAAGGCCTTGTCTAGGAGTTCCCCTTGTGCTTTCAGAAAAGTGAGGCCAAGGACATCAGCAGAGCCAACATCTGCTTCGAGTTCCTGGGGCTCTTGACAACATGCAGCTCCTGGCAGAGCCTGCTTTGCCCTGGCCATTCTGCTGGCAATTGTGGAGAACAAGCTTGGTCGTGAGGACAGCCCATCCCGAGATCCCCAGAGCAGAGACAGCCGCCATCAGGGAAAATCCTGAACTCATGAGGGATGGATCCCATGATTTTTTTCTGGTGGGGAAGAAAAGGACCCATTCTTCTTGACACTAATGAAAGGGTGAAAAATAGTTTCTTTTTCTTTTTTGTTGGAACTAACTCTATTGCCCTCCCCACCAGACATTCTGCCTCTGCTATATGTTGCAAAAGAGCCTGGTAATTTGGCCCTCAGGCTCTTACACACTATAAATATATGAAATCCAGGTTTGACATCTAGATACTACAATATTTGTCAACTTTAGCAACCCACTTAACCACTCTGTGCCTCAGTTTAACTGTAAACTGGGAACAATAATACCTGTCGCTAGGGCTATACCAAAGATTAGATGTATACAAAAGAAGTTCCAGCTGAAGAGTAGAAATAAGATATAAACCAATTCTGAATTAATGAAGAACTGGGATTGCAGATCTCCCTCAGATACGGGTATAGCCTGTAGGCTACTCTTCTAAGAGGGTGGTATTTAATGTCTATGGAGCAGCCCTCATCTCTGCCTCAACATTTATATGTGAGTGAATTTAGATTACCATGTATACACCCGGCTTCCATGGCTAACACTCCTCTTCCTAGTCCAGGATGAATGCACATCCTCAGCTCAGCTTCCCAGGAGGGGAAGCAACTGTGTAGCTTAAAAAAGAAGAGGCTGAGGTGGGTATGGTGTTTTTGTGCAAGGACAAGTCTTGAGACTGTTCCCCTGAGACTGGAGCAACTGAGACTTAAATAGGATCCTGGGAAAGATGGTATCAGTGAAATATCATCTCAGTTGGTGTTCACCATAAACCAAGCTATGGCATTGGACAGTGAGACCTACCAGTGGTGTGCCAGAAGCCAGAAGCTGGATATCCACCTTCAGGGCCATTATTTCTCTGTTTGAGTCACAGGTGGTCTCCCGATATCCCCAGTGCCACCAGGTGGGACAGTAAGCAGGGTCAACAGCTAAAGACAGAAGTAGTTATTTCAGGTCCTGGATAGACAGTCTCCTTGGAGAAGAGTCCTTCCCATTACTCAAATCCTTTTCCATCACTCCCATTGGCAAATGCTGCCTTTCCTCAAAGCATGGATACAAAGGTATCTCATTTCATCTTTAATTAAAAAAAATCCTTCTGAGGTAGCCATCCCATTTTTATTGACACTGAGACTGAATCACAGCAGGAAAAGCAACTTACCCAAAGCCACTCACTGAACAGTGCCAGTAAAAGCAGAAAGGTCTGGAATTTAGGCCTCCTGATTCCCAATTCAGTCTCTCAGAGATGTGGCTCTATTTCTAAATATAGGCACTGAGCCTTCAGGCTGGGAAAGAAAGATGGATAAAATGGATAGTTCTCTTAAAGAGCATTTAGTCATAAGAAACAGAAACCCACTCAAATTGCCATAGATTAAAGGGGGGAAAATAATAAAGAAGAAGTATAGCTAGCCCTCATGAGTTCTGGTTTCTGGAATCAGAAACCAGAAAGCCAAAAGAACCCAAAACAGTTACTGTGTCCTCTCTGGGGCAGCAAGTCCTCCCATCTCTGCATATTTCCTCATTTTGTGCATGCTCCCCTGCTCTGTTACTACTTTGGCACAGCCTAAATATGGCCACTGCAGCCTCAGCTTTATATATATGACTTCTTCATACTCCTAGACAATGGAGCAAGTCTTCAAAGCTGAAAATTATGTTCTACTTAGAATTCTATACCCAATCAAACATGAGGAAAAATGAAGACACTGTCAGTCACACAGTGACTCCAAAAAAAAAAAAAAAAATTGCCTTTCATATGACCTTTCTTAAGGAGCGACCAGAGGATGTGCTTCACTAAAGCAAGAAAGTGAATTGGTAGAGTGGATAAAATGGGATCCAGGAAACAAGAAATCTAACAGGGGGAGGGGATAAAAAAATTCTAGAATTAAAAAGGGCCAAAAAGGGCAGTTAGTCCTGAAGAAAGCAAAAGATACAGGACTCTGAAAGATCTCTAGGGGGTGAAAATGGAATTGACCATTTCTCTGATGGCTCATGACAGATCTGACGAGGGATTAAAGATATGGATATGGAAAACTCTGCCTGTTTAAAAAAAATTAAGGTGATCATCATCTCCATGGAAAACACTAAATTTTACAAAAGGAAACATAATCATAGCACACAACTTGGCTCTGTAATAAGTAACATTTACAGAATCCAAATTATGTAAAAACTAAGATTTATAATATGATTTTTTTGAAAGATGCAGAGAAGGGTAGGGGTTTAAGAGAGAACCATATCCTCATCTTCTATAACAGAAAATCAATAGACAATGTCTAAACTATCATCAAGAGTGGTAATATTAGCATTTTATGTAGGAATATGGTAAAACACCTCAAAGAATTGATAGTGGTTGTCTCTGAGAATAAAAAGACACTGCTATTACCTTTTATGAACTTTCAAATACTATCTTTTTGACTTTAAGAAAAATAGATGTAAATTACACCCACCCACCCCCAAATAAAAACCTGTCGCAGAGCCTTTTAACAAATGTTTTCATCATCACCTACGGTTAGTAGTTAATCCAAATTTTCTACTTCACTCTAGGTTGATTTCTATTTTCTTCCTTGCTTCCTGGTGTCTTCCCATCTGACCTAACTAGCTTAGCGTTCAGCACTTCCATTCTCTTCCTTATTAAACTCTCATCTTTATTGGCTTCTGTGACTCTGTCCCCCCCTGGTTTTTCTACTTTTCTGGCTGTTCTTTTCTCTCCTTCTCTGCCTGTTTCCTCCTCCCACCTCTCAAACATGAAAATTCATTCCTCGAGACTCATTCCCCACTCCTTCAATCTTTTCTCTCTACTATCTCTCCCAATTTCTGATCTACCCTCATGATTTAAACCTGCACCTCCTGGGACTTCCCTGGTGGTCCAGTGGTTAAGACTCCATGCTTCCAATGCAAGGGGCACGGGTTTGACCCTAGTTGGGGAACTAAGATTCTGTATGCCGCGTGGCGCAGCCACCCCCCCCCCCAAAATTTAAAAATACAAAATAATAAAGTCTTAGCAACACCCTGGTGGTCCAGTGGTTAGGACTCAGTGCTTTCACCAGTGTAGGCCCAGGTCAAAAAATAAATAAAAAATAAAGTCTTAAAAAAAAGAGCAAATCACTCAAAATCAAACCTATCCTCCTGAGACCATATTTCTGTCCATGATTCAGTCAAAACCTTGGTTCCTCCTTTTTTCTCTTCCCCCATCCAGTCAGTTACTAAGTACTACTAGTTCTTTCCCACATTCATTCCTTTCTTTCCAAAGGTGTTTTCCAGGTCTTCATCATCTCACACTTAAAATATTCCAACAGTCTCCTAAGTGGTAAGCCCCAGATCTCAAATCTGCCCATGTTTTACTCATCTTTATACCTCCCACACCTACCTCAGAGCCTGGCACTGAGCTCTTGCCTAGTAAGTGGTCCATCAACTAGATACTGTCTCTGCCTCTAATCCATACTGCCACCAGACATCTTTCTAAAATGCTGATTTGTACATACCACCCCAGAGTTTTAATGGCTTTTCACTGTCTATGAGACAGTGATTAGTTTAGCCTGGCACTGGAGGTGCTCTATCTCTATAAAATTTCATTCTACTACTTACGTGAATACTCTGTTCCAGTTGATCTAATGGAAACTCCTCTTTCATTCATCTAAACTTATTGATTCCGTATCCCAGGCACGGTGCTAAGTCTTGGAGAATAGAATGGGAGTATGACGAAGCCACTGCCCCTTATAATCCAGTATTGATGTTCTCCTAATACACCTTAAGTATTTCTACTTGTGATGGTTCTAAGATAGAAAGCCTTTATCATCCTCTCAGCATATTTAAGTATTAGAGTCAGTAAATATGGATGCTCACCAAATGTGGAAATAAGGTTCCTTTCCGAACATGAAACTAATAAGGCCAAACAGGTAACAGATAATATCAATAAGCAATGTCTATCATTTACTGTTTACTGCGTGCCAGGCATTGTGCTAAGTGATACATTACTTCGTTTAATCTTCATGGCCTTTTCAGTTAGGTACTATTCTTGTCCTGTGACAATCAGGCTCAAAGGTAATTTGTGTAAGTTCACTCAGCTAGTAAATAATGGACAAAAATCCATATCTATTACAAAACCCAAGATTTTATTTATTTTTAATTAATTTATTTTTGGCTCTGTTGGGTCTTTTTTTTTTAACATCTTTATTGGGGTATAATTGCTTTACAATGGTGTGTTAGTTTCTGCTTTATAACAAAGTGAATCAGTTATACATATACATATGTTCCCATATCTCTTCCCTCTTGCATCTTCCTCCCTCCCTCCCTCCCTATCCCACCCCTCCAGGTGGTCACAAAGCACCGAGCTGATATCCCTGTGCTATGCGGCTGCTTCCCACTAGCTATCTACCTTACGTTTGGTAGTGTATATATGTCCATGCCTCTCTCTCGCTTTGTCACAGCTCACCCTTCCCCCTCCCCATATCCTCAAGTCTGTTCTCCAGTAGGTCTGTGTCTTTATTCCTGTCTTACCCCTAGGTTCTTCATGACATTTTTTTTTCTTAAATTCCATATATATGTGTTAGCATACGGTATTTGTCTTTCTCTTTCTGACTTACTTCACTCTGTATGACAGACTCTAGGTCTACCCACCTCATTACAAATAGCTCAATTTCATTTCTTTTTATGGCTGAGTGTTGGGTCTTTATTGCTGCACACAGGCTTTCTCTAGTTGCCGCGAGCGGGGCTACTCTTCGTTGCAGTGCGCAGGCTTCTCATTGCGGTGGCTTCTCTTGTTGCGGAGCACAGGCGCGCGGGCTTCAGTAGTTGTGGCACGTGGGCTCAGTAGTTGTGGCGCACGGGCTTAGTTGCTCCACAGCATGTGGGATCTTCCCAGACCAGGGCTCGAACCCATGTCCCCTGCATTGGCAGGCGGATTCTTAACCACTACGCCACCAGGGAAGCCCAAAACCCACGATTTTAACTTAGACTAAACTGCTTGACCCACTCCAGAAGATGGTTTTTAAATGAGACTTGGAGACACCCAACTCCAAGGTAACTAAGCTATTTTAGCTGTCTCTCTGGCAAGACTTGAGTTCCTTCAAGGTAGGCCTATTTGCATCCCCACTGAGACACACATAGATTCTATATTTATTTATTGCCACTTATGTACGTCATCATCACCACCCACAAATGTTAAAAAATACTTATGTGGGCAACGGATTATACTGAGAGGTATCCTTGGGGATCATAAAAAAGATGTCCTGAGATTATGCAAAAGGAGGTATTAGTAACTTCCAAAACTCTCTCCTGATCCATTGATTCTCTTCTGAACCAGAGAGTGAACTACAGAGTAATGGGATTGAAACAGGACACCCCAAGTCTGGCCACAGTAAAGGTGCTCTCAGTTCAGGCTTCCTGCAAGAAAAGGTCTGGATGATGCTGGTCACCAGCCTAGTGGCCCTTCAAGGTATGTTCAGAAGAGCTTTTAGCACCCCAAGAAATGAGGGTGCTATACCTTTAACATCTTGATTACTCTCCAGGAGAAGGGTGGAAAGGAAGCCCAGAGTGGGACAGGGAAATGCTCCTTAGGCCCCTGGCTGTCCACATGAAAACATCACACCAGTATGAGGGCAAAATCGGTCCAAAGGGACTAAAGACTTCATACTAACTAGGGGATGATAGATGAATCAGACTTTCCATTGGGTAGGAGGTCACACCCATGAGGAAAGCAAGCCTGTGGGAGAGGCAAGCAAATACAAATACCTCTACTTACTGGATGAACAGAGGGCTACAAGTTGAGGCAACAGACGTTTGGCTATAATGTGATGAGCAAGGCAAGAAACAGACTTGGTCTGGAGGTGGGTTTTAAACAATGCAGCTCTTCACCAAAGGTTGATGGCCAGATTGAGTATATAAAACCCTTGTAGTTGAGTCCTCTGAGCATCGTTTATCAATGTCAATTAGTTTTCCCTATTAGATAAAAAAGATATTGGAACTTGCAACGACACGTTTGCATAATCAGTAACTGATGCAGGTTTTTGCCTCTCCTTGGCATTCTTAACTCCAAGCCTTATTTAGGCCTTCCTCAATTCAATAACTACCACTGTGCCACCAGAATGTAAGCTCTATACGTGCAGAACCTTTGTCTTGTTTACCCCAACCAAAAACAGTACCAGGCACATAGCAGGCTCTTAATAGATTTGTTTAAAGAATTTGTATGACAGGTTAGGCTTTCCATATGGTGACTCTAACCTCATGCAATGCTTCCAGGTCAATATTCCCCAATTACTCACCAGCAAATGGGTATAAGGAGGTTAAATGTTGCCCCGGTGCATGGGAATTAATACAGGACCGTCTCACTCCAAACTCCGTGCTCTCAGTGATTATCTACTACATGCTAAGCACTTTCCCTCTCAACTCCATCACCACTCTCCCCATTCTGAGATTGCTTCCTCCCATTTCCAGAAACAGGACCACCTAACGCTCCCTTATTCCAACCCCTTAACTGCAAACTATCAAAGGAAAACAAAGACCACATCTGTGATCCTTGGCAAGCCCCTGACAAGTGTAAGCCTACTCCAGTTTTCAGGGAGAAACTGGTGAACATCAAGCAGTCTGACCCTTCAGACATAATTCTTTATTGAATCTAAATCTTCTCAATGGTTAGGCTATTTCATTGGCAAAATCAATTTTATTTCTTCATACGTATTAAAAACTCTAAAGAGAAAAGGAGATTGGGTCTAGCCATACAACCTACTATTGACTCCCAAGTTATGTGAGAGGAAAAAATCTCTAAGCTCTTTTCCCTTTTCTAGTCAGGTGAGGAGAATGAACTTCTGATAGGTCATTCCTTTTATCACTCTTCCCACCTCAAGACTCAGCAGAATTATGGAAGTGGTAGTGTTCAGCAGAACCAAAGTACACACATTTTCTCAGGACCAGAGAAATCATGTAGGTCAAGTTATCATGCTTACATGTGATACAATGAGGGAACTTTCCTGGATCTCTATGCCTCCCTCAGCTCATGAAACTAATTTCAATGAGTATCCCTGTCCTATCACTGTGCTAGCCACTCAGTGCTATACATGGAAAACCAACCTTGAACTTGTTGAGTGGCATCTATTTCTTCGATTGTCTTACCTTCCAGCAAGAAGAGATCAAAGGTTGGCTTCTTTCCCACTTGCTTCAGGATCAGGTAGGTTTCACAAGATCACAACTGCAACTTTAAGCAGTAGACACAACACATACAATACCTCCCCTTCTTTCCTGTTCCATTCCCTCTAGTCATAAGAGCCTATCAAACACACATCCCAGGATGAATTACATCAGGTATTTTGTTACTATTCTAAGTTTGTAGCATAAAACAAACTTTCCTTTTTCTTTCTACAGCTTTGTAAGCCTTGTGCCAGAAAAAACTTTAAAAAAAGTTATAGAGGGACTTCCCTGGTGGTCCAGTAGTTAAGACTTCGCCTTCCAATGTAGGGGGTGTAGGTTTGATCCCTGGTCAGGGAGCTAAGATCTCACATGCCCCGTAGCCAAAACACCAAAACATAAAACAGAAGCAATATTGTAACAAATTCAATAAAGACTTTAAAAACGGTCCACATCAAAATAAAAGTCTTAAAAAAGTTACAGCAAGATAAATCTGACTCTCTTTAGCTTGGCATCTTTCACATTACAATATGCATAGAGAAGGAAATAACAGGGCACAGGGGAAGAGATGCTAAATATGCCAGGAATCTGGAGAACACAAGATGGGCAAATGAATGTGTTCCCTGACCTCCCCTCCTCACTGCCAGAGCAAACCTAACTTTCTTCCTACCTCAGTCACCAGTAAATAAAAAAGCAGCTCTCACAAAAGCAGCTGGCGTACAGTTCTCACTCAAATATTGGATAAGTGTGTTTTTGTACCCAGGAAGAACTTCTCCTCCCTGCCCTCCAACAAAGTAAAATAAACAAGTGAGTCAAATAAAATGAGAACACCAATGTTTTTGGAAGAAATTTTTATTTGACACTGTTAAGGGAAGAGAGAGGAAACAAGCAAAGACAGGTAGGATAGGAGAGGAAGGGCACCAGACCCAGTAACTGACTTGGCAGAAAATGAGGAAACGAAGGGACCCTGGTGTTGAGCGGCATCCACATAGCAGTGCTGGAGGAAGAGGAAGATTTGTGCAGACCAGGTGCTCCACAGATCTTAACTGTCTAGCTTCAACTAAGTACCTGTCAATCTCTCTGGTCATTTCTCTTTTTTTTTTTTTTTAGTAAATGTCAAAGCAATTATCTGCAGCCTTTTCTTTTCTCTCTAAATTCATAAATCCTCTTGTCTCTTTGGACAGATAACCTCTTGTCTTAGTTAAGCAGAGAGGTGGGGGCAGGATATTCCTGCTAGGAGGAACTACATGAATAAAGAGGTAGAAACACAGACAATTTAACTGGGGCTAAATGGCAAGCCATCAAAGGGAAACAGGCACCTTACCTGTGATCCTTGGCCAGGACCTGCCAAATGGGGGAGCTAAGATTTGTGGGACCAGAGAGACAGAAGGCTGAAAGAGATGGGTAAGACCCTTATTAGTGATGGCCTTGAACCTCAAACTAAGGATTTTGGATTTTGTGTCTTATGGAGGTAGAAATAGGCATGGAGTCAGAAGATCTGGATTTAAATTCTGACCCTGCAACGTACCAGCTACATGTCCTTGGGCAAATGAAGTTTTGAGATGCTACTTATCTGTAAAATGCAGTATTTCCTACTCTATCTTCTGTTTCCACAGGACTGCTCTGAGAATCAAATGAGATTCTGGATTTTAAACCCAGAACCACTTGAATTCTGACTCAGGTCTCCAAAGCTTTCTCCACTGTACTACACTCACTTTAATCTTTACCTGTTTTATGTGTTAGTTTTGTTTTTCTAACTAAATTTTAAGCTCACATGAGTAGAGATGTCTTTTACTTTTCACTATTCAAAGACTCTTCTGAAGCCACTCAATATTATACAATCACTGGAAGTCTCACACAGAAGCCATGTCTAACTACAGAAAAGGTTTTATCCATTGTGCTATTATGCTAATTATAGTCTACATAAAAAATCTGCAGAAAGGACACACGATTGCTGGCCAAGTTTATCAAGACATTCAAGAGCATTAGACTACTAGCTCTGACTTGAACTAAGCAGAATAAACAAAGCAACAGCAAGTCAAGGGTCCCACTTCTAAAGAATTTATTTATTCTGCTTATCTCAAGATGGTTAAACAAAAATTTGAAATACTTATATCTCGGCTTTCAAAGTGTATTGATACCACTCCTTTCAAATAAGTCTATAAATTTCCATGCATGAACAGGTAGACTTCTGGACACACATCTTAACCTCAATCTATATGAGTGATTCACAACCCAAGGAATTTGAACCTCTGTGAGGCCATGTAGTTATTTTAAGAGGTCTATGTAAGCATTATGTTCAGTCTGAATAAATAATATATCTTACAAATATGTATATACTGTACTTCAACTGGATATAGATTCTGGTGTGACTAATAAAGACAAACTGATTTAAAAGCATTACTAAAATCATAGCAGCTTTTTGCTATGTGTTTTTTCCATCAAAAGATACTAAAAATACAACTATAATCTTGTTGGGAGCGAGTCTAATAATTTGGGGACCTTAAAAATGGTATATCTTATTAGAAAAGGTAAAGAACGACAAGCCTACATCTCATGATTTACAGATATAAGTGTTTCAGGTGAAAGAGGAAAGGCAACATATAGACTCCACTTCTGTGGACACCATCTAAGTATAATCTGGCAAAACACAAAGTTTATAGGTATAAAATTAGAGAGTTGAGTGCCTGTAATTCCACTTATCTGGCAGGTATGAGAGATCAAAGCCTCTTAATGTCCATTAGCTAAGACATTTTGATCCTGTCTCGATCCTGGAAAAGATCTCCAGTTGTACTCATTGTATTCTACACATTCCATTTTAAACCCATGGCGCAGACCTGGGGTTCCCAGCCTGAGTGCTGAGATGCTGACATTACTGCAAGCTATAATTTCCCACCGTAGGATAAACACCTGTGATATGTTTACCCCACCAAATCTTTCCCTGAACTCCCTACATCAGAACTTATGTTAGATTCATTTTGGAAACTCTCAGTAGGAGTACTCTCTCCTGCTAGTCCCCCCGCAAACTCCCAAATCTCCACTGGTTTATTCTTGTAAACAGCACCTTTATCTTCCCACCTCTCTACCACAGAGACAAAAGAGGGATTTTCCCTAACATCCAAATATTCATTCACCAGCCCTGTTCCTTCTCCTCCTAAAAATCTGTTTTCCTTCACAGATGTCAGTGGCCTGCCTAGATGAGCTCTAACAACCAACTCTGAGGTACCCTTCACCTCCCAAAACCCCAGGGGTTGTTTTGTTGTTGTTTAAAACAGACAAACTATGATCCCCTCCTGATTAGTTTTTGTTAAGTCTGATATATCTGTATTCCTTGAGGAAATAGGACTTGGACACCAGGAAGAACGAAACTGAAGCATGCAGAAGTTCATGTGAGAAGTCAAGGTGTCATCAATAACTTACCAAGAAAATTTTTTGAAAGCAATAGATAACTGTGTCTTAGTTCAATTAATTATAATATAGAAACAAGAGATGACCAACACCCTTTCCTCAAAGCCATTTATCCTCAACCTTCAGAAATGACCAGACTTTTAGCTCCAGTGAATCCATTTGCCACACCGCATAACGGGGTGCCTGCCCAAGCTAACAGTGCCCTATTACAGAGAACTACAGAAACACATGGGCCTGAGGCACATGCAATGAGAGAATCAGACTAAAGCTCCAGTCCTCTGCTGTACCCCTGCTCACTTTATCTACTTCGGTGCCCACCATATCCCTTCTTCCTCTAGAGTGAAATGTGCATATATGCATATGTCTATGAATATACATATATACACACACACACACACACACACACACGCATATATACAAATGTGCAATACAAAGACATAAACAAGGAATTTTTCTCCTAATAACTATTTAATCCAACTGAGACTTGTTGCGGGGGGAAGAAACAAATTCTTGCCCCCAAATCCTCCTTCCAACTTGACAACTAACTATTGGACCAGAAGAGCACTGCTCAAGGAAAACATTTAACAAGCACTTGCTCAATTGTTATGCAGCAAATGTTGACAACTAAGGAAGCTATCTGGATACTTCAGGTTTCCCAACTCTTCAGAGAACTGGCAATAGGAAATTTGCAGGAAAATTAATTTTTAATACAAGGATTATTCCTTCTCTCTGTTGGAGATATCGGTTAAATGTTCACCACTCTGCCCTGCCCACCCAACTGCCCAGTTCTGTCCAGCCAGAATAACCCATCTGGAAACTACCCAAGAAGCAATAATCACTTGGAGGCCAGCAAGGAATTGCCCTACATAACCTCTCCACTTTCAGGTCTACCAACCTCTAGCAAGTCCCTCCTAATTTTGTGCTAACATAGTTTTACTTCCTCTTTTATTTCAAATTACAATGAACGAAAGGAAGAATAAGAAAAAAAGACATTCATGAATAGGAAAACAATCTGTTTATCTATGCATGGAACTCAAAGGGTAGGCCATTTAGTACAAATGTAAAGGCCTCAAGTCTAAGGGCCCAAGATTTGAAATGGCAACTTTTTTCTATTCTCTTTGATAATGAGGGAAAGCTGAATCATCTCTCCCTTGACTCCTAGTAAGGCTCCAGTTTCCTGAGTCTGTAAGCCTTCCAGTTGTAAACGAATGAACACCTGAGAAGTCTGGGTTATGTAGTCCTCTGCCTTGGGAACTATATCAAACTGTGTTTGGCTCCATAATCATGTGAGCCAATTCCTTATAATAAATCTCTACACACACACACACAGACCCACACACACACACACAGACACACACACACAGACACAGACACACACACACACACACACACACACACCTTACTGCTTCTGTTTCTCTGGAGAACCCTAATACACTACCTAAATTAACCTGGAAGTCTGAGATGCCTCCTATTCTAGGAAGAAACACTACAGATTCATTAAGTAGGAGGGGTCTCAGAAACAGCAAACGGATTTATGCACTCTGTCTAAAAGCACAAAAAAAGTGAAGAAAATTTCAGATAACTTAAGACTGATGCAATTTGCTCTTCCATATATTGAAAAGTTAAATCCCTGTCCAGCACTTTGTTTGCATCCTTTTGTAAAGCTACTCAGATTCTTTCTAGTTCTCTAGTGTTAAGTAAAAATACACCTGCCTGTTCTGGCATCTCCAGACACTAACAAGCAGACAAAAACTGCCAGGCTGGCATCATTTTTCTGAGACAGCTGATATTGTTCCACTTGAAAACTACAATGTGCTCCAACTTCAGCCTAGCCCTTCTCCATCTAAGTAATGGCCATTAAATATTCACAACATACCTCCCATGTCCCCTCAGCCTCTTCACCCCTCACCATTCAAAACCAGTGTGTATTTCTGGGCTACATTTCAATAGCCATAGTAAATAGTTCACATTCTCCAAAGAAACGATCTCTACATAGGATAACATAAGGCATATGAGAAAACATCTTTTATTCTCTCTGGGCCCAACCTGAATCATAACTTATGGTCACAATTTTTAGAGGTAGGCTATTAAATTAAACTCTCCCACTTTCTCTCTTCCCTCTCCTACTCCTCTGTCCTCTACTAAATTACAAAGATATCTCTAACCCCATCCCTCACCCCCAAAACCAGTGTACAACGAGTCAACAAAAACCGAGGAAAGACTCCTAGCCAAGAGAGACTCACCAAAGAGCAGCCTTCTTGTTCTGATCATTCCAAACTATGAAGGGCTGATATGACCATACCATTGTTGCCCCTCTGTCACCCTTTTTGGTGCACCAACAGTGGTTACATGTCCCCATCATTTATTTTTGAGACTTTGAAGTTCCAACAACATTCTTAATCTTCTTCATTTATTCAACTTTAAACACTTAAATGCGCCAAAGAGCATGTGCATGTGCATGGGACACTGTTAGGCTGAAAAAAGAAGGCCTACGTCTCCTAGGCCAAGTTGTTTGGGCATGATCACAATAATCAGTATGACTCCAAGTACAGACAGAACCAAGCAAACAGAAAGGTTTCAGAGATGATAAATGGGCTTAAAAAATTAAAATGGGACAACATAAAATCTCAATTCCTGAAGACCAGTGAATTACAAAAAACAATGACTTAGCTGTAGAAGCAGTAATGAAGTAATTCTATTTCTGTGAGGAAAATTATTTTAAGGTCCCCAGGATAAACAATGAGTTGAGGATCACTAAAAAACCTCGGAACCAAAGATTTCAAACATCTGTCCTTCTGTGCCTGTATGCTGCCCAACTCATTCCCAAAAAGGAACCAGAATCAGATTCCTCCCAACATAAGACTCCTAAGACATGTCAGGTTGGTTTCTGCAGAAGCTGCATCTTGTGAAGTAGTCTTTAAAAGTAAAAATGAGAAAACCAAAGAATACAATGATAAGCCACTTTCTCCTTCCCACTGTAATTTTTCTTTGATTTGCTCTCTGATAATTTAAGAAAAAACAAGAATCGTTAGTGTCTCAGATTCTTGAATTAATCTGATCTCACTTCATGGCTAATGTGGCCAAAAGTAGATGCTTTTGTACAACTAAAACAGAAGGACTTTATATCAGCAGGACTTTAGGGCTCTGGTTCCACTGTATTTAGTGTAAAGTACACTTATGATAGGGTGGAGGTTGGAGAAAGAGGTGGAAACATCCATCACAAGGTAACATGACAGATAGCAGGACCCTAGCTAGACTTTAAGGAACTGATTCTATTCTGGCAGGGGAAACCCACATAATTAAGTTTCGCACTTACAAAATTATCGCTCTGAATTCAAGAATGAGAGGCATTTGGTTGTAGATACAATTCCATCTGTAGATACTAACTTTAAATTTAGAGAAGAAAAACACTCAATGAATTAATGTTATGGGTTTGGGTTTCTTAGGTGATTCCTAAATTCACCTACGACTTTTTTGTTTTGATACAATTAACAGCTGTGATAAGAGGTCTACCATAGCCCTGGCTCAGAGGCGGTCTTTAGTTTCAGAAAGTCCATCGGTCATGTAGCTGGCTGTCACTGCTAAATCTGTTGCTTGCAGAGGACCCAGAGGTCTGGGTTTGCTGAGTAGAGTCCTCACCATTTAAGCTCTTCCTACATACAGGACATGCGTCGTGCTGAAACAGAAAGATATCAGTCTACATGAACAGCCTGACCCGAAAGCTGGAAGAACTAAACACTTAAGAAACCCTGAGAGTTAGCAGGTAGAAAAACCAAAAGGGCATGAATTCTCACATAGTGCACGCTGGGCTCCATGTGTAACACCAGGACATCGCCCAAACAGAATGTCAACAGAATTGACAGAGAATTCTAGGCAGCAACTTAACAATAGCTAACACATATCACCAAGCAGAACTAACTAGAAGCAATGACCTGAGATGGTCTAGAGCAGGAGTCAGCAAACTTTTCCTGTAAAGGAAAAGGTAGTAAATATTTTAGTCGTTGCAGGCCACACCACCTATGTTGCAACTACTCAACTCTGCTGATGTAGCACAAAAGTAGCCATAGACAATTTGTAAACAAATGGGCATGGCTGCGTTCCAATAAAACTGCATTTACAAAAATAGGTGGCAGGCCACAGGGACCTGCAGGCTGTAGTCTGCTAACCCCTGGTCAGAGAAGTTCCAAACAGATTAATAATCTAAAACACAGGAATGGTGCTACTAGGAGTTAGCCAGGGACTAAAATCTGATCTGCCTGGCTCTCTATTAACTGTTTGATTTTTTTTGTTTGTTTTTTAAAAAATTTTTATTGGAGTATAGTTGCTTTACAATGTTATGTTAGTTTCCACCGTACAGCAAAGTGAATCAGCTACACGTATACATATATCTTCCTTTTTTGGATTTCCTTCACGTTTAGGTCACTGCAGAGCACCGAGGAGAGTTCCCTGTGCTATACGGTAGGTTCTCGTTAGTTATCTATTTTATACATAGTATCAATAGTGTATACATGTCAATCCCAATCTACCAATTCATCCCACCCCTCCCTTTCCCCCTTGGTATCCTTACGTTTGTTCTCTGTGTCTGTGCCTCTATTTTTGCTTTGTAAATAAGATCGTCTATACCAATTTTTTCAGATTCCACATATATGCGTTAATACACGATATTTGTTTTTCTCTTTCTGACTTACTTCACTCTGTGTGACAGACTCTATGTCCGTCTGTACAAATGACCCAATTTCGTTCCTTTTTATTGCTGAGTAATATTCCATTGTGTATATGTACCAATTAACTGTTAACTACATCCTTACTGTGAACCATCCCCCCAAGAAGACATGACTGGCACAGTTGCCCCATCACAGATGAGAGCTGTCCATACTTACCAGTTCTAACCACGGCACAATACAACTGCTGTGAAAGAAGTGGTTGCAGGGTAACTGCCGGACTTCCTCCTCAACTGTGTAATCCTCTTTGCATACTGGACACTCTAAACCCTTATCTGTTGGAGGAGGAAACGCCTTTTAAAATAAACAAGCAAAAAGAAGGAAGAAAAAAACTAGCCCAAAGTCTTTAACAGCCAAAGGAATACACAAAGTAAAGACAAAGTGCACCCAAGGTGGAGGCAGATAGGAAGCATGAATTTTATTTCAAACTGGGAATAGAGGTGGTAGTAGACAGGGGTATGAGAAGGAGGACTAACTAATGTGCCTGTTCCAATAAGGCCCAGACAGGAACTACATAAGGCCTACTTTTCAATGTAAAGAGTTGGAAGAACTGGGGCTTAGATTATCTTTTAAGTGAAACAGGAAAAACATCTTCCCAAGTGTGTGAAAGCCTTCTGGCAGTTTCTACTTAGGAAACACTGGCAATCTGTCCACCACAACCAAGGAACTCATCTCGGCAATCTTGGCTGTTCCCATTCAGTGTCTCAAGCCACTTTTACCCTACTACTTTCTACATTACACATCCTATTTCATCATGGTTACCCTAAAGCCTCTTTTACAAGCTGTTCATTAGAAGCTGTACCAGGGGATAGTGCTACAGAACTGCAAGGCCCAAGGGTAGCTCAGGCTCTAAGTCCAGAGACAGGGAGCCCTCTTCTCAGAGAAAATGGCTACAAACTGAACAGGGGATACCAGGCAGTAAATTCCAAGTTTCCCAAGTTTGGCTAGTAATACCAGCTAGTCTATCTCTTCAGTAGCTGGGCTATGTATGTTACATGCTCCACAGTACTCAAGGCATTTGGAGTAAAATACCACTTAACAGATTCACTCCTTCCTCTCCATTCCCATCACCTGAGCCCTAATTTTAGCTTCTACTTCTCATGCCTACTCTACTGTAACAGCCTCCCATGTAGCATCCCTGACTCCAGGCCTTCCAGATATATCCTATATTTTGCTACCAGCTAATTCTCCCTAATATCAGCTTCATAGCAATTCCCAGCTCATCTTCACTTGGATTCTCAGCTGGTACCTCAAAATCAACAAATTCAAAATTAAAAACATCACATCACCCCCTTACCCAAACCAGGGCCGGCTCACAATTCCCCCATCCCTGATGTCAGCACCACCTCTGTGGTTATAGAGTTGCAAAATCTTAGAATCATCTTTCACCCTTTCCCCTCCTTTATCCCATTATGCAATCAGTGATAAAAGGCTTTCTTCGATCTGAGTCTACCCCTTCCTTTCTGTTAGCATTGCCACCGTCACCTGAACCCCATCAGGATGCTGCAACAGCCCCTTAAATCTGTTTCTGCTTCCTCCCTCTTTCAATCTTTTTTTTTTTTAATGACTGCTTTTTAAATTTATTTATTTATCTACTTTTGGCTGTGTTGGGTCTTCGTTGCTGCACGTGGGCTTTCTCTAGTTGCATTGAGTGGGGGCTACTCTTTGCTGCAATTTGTGGGCTTGTCATTGCGGTGTCTTCTACTGTTGCAGAGCACGGGCTCTAGCCACAGGCTTCAGTAGTTGCAGCACGCGGGCTCAGTAGTTGTGGCTCACAGGCTCTAGAGTGCAGGCTCAGTAGTTGTGGCTCATGGGCTCTAGAGTGCGGGCTCAGTAGTTGTGGCACACGGGCTTAGTTGTTCCGCGGCATGTGGGATCTTCCCAGGCCAGGGCTCGAACCTGTGTCCCCTGCACTAGCAGGCGGATTCTTAACCGCTGCGCCACCAGGGAAGTCCCTTCCCATCTATTTTAGACACTACCCTCCAAACTAATCTTCCCTAAAGACCACTTAAATTCCCTCATTCCTCCATTTGGGGACCTACAAAACTTACCTACTACCTAAACTATCCAGCCCTAACTACTCTGCCAGTTTCAGGGTCCTCTACAACAAGGCCCCACCCTTCCTATCCAGTCATACCTCTCACTACTCCCCAAATCAGATTCTATTTCAGGTCTAATGAGGTTACACTCCTTATACCTGATCCAGACACCATGTCCATGCTGACATTCTTCACTGGTTCATACTTTTCCATATATAGAATAATCTCTCTAATATGGCCCATCCTGTCTTTAAAATCTTCTGACTCTAAACTGGAATTTATGGGGAAAGAAACTCCCAGTCCAAAATAATGTCCCTTATCACTAAGTTCTTTTAGTGCTTATAAATAAAATAATGTCTATGTCTAATGTACCTGAGTACAGGGTAGATGTGAAACAAATGCCTAGCCCCCCATTTTTTCTCTTCCTTTTCTCCCAAAGTCAGTATCATCTGCTCGACCACTTTTTAAACTATTGTCTAATCATTTGGTAAGTTCTGCTTCCCCTGGTAAGTTCTTCAAGAAATCAAGTCTTCTATACCTTTGTACCTCTTTATTTCCTGCCTGGCATCTAGAAAACCAACATGGTAATTGCTCAGGAATTACCTGTTGACTAACCCTAACGAAGGGGTAGGTACCTTCCATACCTGGCACCCAGGTATAAATTTTAGGAGTGCTACAGCTTCACTTGAAGATCTTTAGTATAGGAAATGGCTCAGATTCTGAACAGAGATAATAAGATGACAAAATACGTATGAAAATGAACCTACCAACTTGTTCCTGAGTTACTGACACTGTTGGAAGAGATGTGATCTTTTCCTTGTCAGCTGGGGGAGGCCCTGTGTTTTCCAGTTGTCCTAAAAGCTACAAAAAAAAGAAAAAAGAAAAAGAAGAAGTGGTAGACATCTAACTATCCCTAGGGAGGGAGCTGTTCCAGCTGAGAACAGTGCAGATATTAAAAATGTTAGTTGCTCTTACTTCTGCAAGGCTATGAGAGGCTTGGGTTTTCCCTTTCCTGCTGCCAGAACACTCATGATTGCTTTACAATTTCAGAGTGACATTAGTATAAGCCCACAGACAGATCCATCATTGCAGGGCCCACCTCTGGGCATAAAGCAACTTCGGAGACAGCAAAAGGGCTGTGATGTCACGAATAAAACTACAGCGTAACAAAACATAATACTTAACCAGTTCAAAAACTTCATTTTGCTGAAAGGAAAAAAAGGGTCAGAGTATGGAAAATAGCACAAGGTAAGCCAAGAAATAGGTAAATTACTGCCTACAAGAAGACTTAGATATAAACAACATGCTTTCTATTCTCAGCAATCCACAAGGGAAATGAAAAACCAATTAAATTAAAATAAACATAAACAAGTGGAAGCAATTATACATAGCATGGGAATACCTTTTTCTCTGCTTCCTTCCCCTACTTTGTTCCATCTAGCAGAAATCCCTGCTTCAACATATGAGCAGACCCTTCTTTTTTGTGAAGTACTTGTTAATAGGATCCTCATAGGACTGAACAAGAGGCCAAAAATATAAAATATTGTTTGTTACAGAAGTCTTTTCTTCCTTTGGAGTTGAAGCTATCTTCTAGAAAGTCCCTAGGACCAAGAAAGTACATGGATGCTGAGCTAAACCCATAAACCATCTATCCCTTTAGTAAAATGGAAACCCACAAGCTCAAACTATTAGGGAAAGCAGAGTGACTGCCATTTCAGAAAGTAGCAGAAGGAAAGCAGGAAGCCTGTGGAACCATGAGACACACTGAACAGACACCCTCAAAAGGCAGCTCCTCACCTGAGTTACAATGGCATCAAGCCCTGTCTGACCCCAGGCATAGTCCCCAGGGTTGGAGTGCAGCATCCCGCTCCTATACATGAGATGAGACACAGAGCATTAGATGGTGTGACCAGGCTCCGCCTTACACCACAGAAAGATTGGCAGAGGAATCCTGTTCTCTCTCAGAGCTGGAAAGTCACCAGTTCTCTAGAATCAAGTGGCAAAGAATTTCTCAATAATTTCAAGGTCAAACAGATTATCCAGAGGCAGTCTCTCATTCTCTAGGAATTTTTGCTTAACTGTATACAGCATAAAATGTGAAGCTACCTAAAATACCACATGACAAACCAGAGCAAAAAGAGTGACTCATTGCCTGTTGGTTAAGAAAAGTTTGTCTTCTCTGTGCCCATTTAACTTAAACATAGATGGAGCTGCTTTTTAAGGAGAGTTTTCCCTTCGTGATCAGCGAAAATCAACAGCAGACTTCCCTCATTCTAAGACTCGGCCTTTGGTCCTGGACAATGAGGAGCTTTCACGTAGAGAAGCAGCCACAGCAGTGTCTCTGAATCACAACTTAGAGGAATCACAAAAGGGACTTGGCAGCACCTCTTTCTGGAGCTGTTGGTGTACTAGCCTGGATGACAGATATCCAGACTCTGGCTGGAACACATTTAAAGAAACGAGAGGCTGGAAAATAGGGTAACTGTGTGGAAGGACTGAGGTCCCTTTGAGCAAAGAAGCCTTCTGGAGCAGAGTCAGAAATGGCAAATAACTGTCCAGACAAGAGGAAATTCCATCTTTAACCCGTACCGTACGTGTCACTCTAATACTCTTATTTCTTCTGAAAAACCTTCTTACTTAAAAAAAAAGGAAGTTAAGCAGTATCTTTTCAATTTCAGAAATTCTTAAGGAATAAAATCTTCCCATATGATCTACAGGAGAAACACACAAATCAGATACCAAGCCTGGTAGGGACCATCTCATTCCCCACCTCAACACAACCCTCACACCTGAATATGAATGGAATCAGACACACCCAGTACCCAGACATCCTGTGGGACCAGGATAGCCCTCATGAGCCTGAATTATAATGAATCAGTTCTGATTAAGTTTGGGCTCAGCAGACAATGGCAGTCTTTAACAGCCTGCCAATTACACCTATATACTCACCTACGCAGCTCTTTCTTTCTCACTATGGCACAGATACTACCATACCTAAAATGATGCTACTGCAGGAGAGTAAGACAGAAGGCAATTAATTACTTACCAAGAAAATGGGGATCCAGGAATGAATCCTGCAATGATTTGTTGTAGTACTCTGTTGAAGGGAAAAAATTAGATAAGAGAACAGACTAATGAAAGTACTCTATAGATATCCATGGCTGACTAATCACCAACTCCTTCCCCAAAACACAATGGCTTTTCACTGACTATTATACAATAGAGAGCACCAGAAATCAGTCCACTACATGGTAGAGTGCTACTCTTCTATTATGGCTGTCTTCCTGAGCTCTGCTACTTTATGTATTAATAGATTTTTATGAATTAAGCTGGAAAGGAATCTTATTGTATGGTTAGTTTTCAAACTATGATTCTTGGATACTTGGCAGCAAAATGAGAGGCTGAAAGGGATGCTAAGCCAGGGAGATTCTGGACCCACCTCCCTACAACAAGGGTAGTTCCATTTTTATGTGTTATGCACATTGTGCAAGATGCTATTTAAAGGGCCCTTTTGTAAAAGTTCAACAATAGCTAACTATACTATGTGTTTGTTTTAAAATATGTTCACAAGTTATTTTATACTCCTCCTCTGGGTGTAGGTTGGACTTAATGACTTACTTTTTTTTTTCCTGAGGTATAACTGACATATAACATTATATGATTTTTTTTCAGGTGTACAACACAATGATTTGATGTTTGTATATAATGCAAAGGATCACCACAATAAGACTAATTAGCATTCATTACCACACATAGTTATAAAATTTTACTTTCTTGTGATGAGAACTTTTAAGATCTACTCTCTTAGCAACTTTCAAATATGCAATACAGTATTAAAATGATAATACTGTAACGAACTATAGTATCTCATTGTGGGTTTGATTTGCATTTCCCTGATGATACAGTCACCGTGCTATACATTATATCCCCATTATTTATTTTATAACTGAAAATTTGTCCCTTTTGACCCCTTTCACCCATTTCACCCACCCCCCAACCCCTGCCTCTGGCAATTCACCAATCTATTCTCTATATCTGTGAACTCGGTTACTGAATTCTTTTTTTAGATTCCACATATAAGATCATACAGTATTTGTCTTTCTCTTTGTCTCACCTATTTCACTTAGCATAATGCCCTCAAGGTCCATCCACGTTGTTGCAAATGGCAATATTTCATTCTTTTTCACGGCTGAATAACATTCCACTGTATATATGTACCACAATTTCTTCACCCATTCAACCATCAGTGGACCCTTAGGTTGTTTCCATGTCTTGGCTATGGTAAACAATGCTGCAATGAACAGGGGGATGCGTATATTTTTTCAAATTTGTGTTTTTGTTTTCTTCAGATGAATACCCAGAAGTGGAATTGCTGGATCATAAGGTAGTTCTATTTTTAATTTTTTGAGGAACCTCCAAATTGTTTTCCATAGTGGCTACACCAATTTACATTCCTACCAACAGTGAACAAGGGTTCATTCCCTTTTCTCCACATCCTTATCAACACTTGTTATTTCTTGCTTTTTGATAATAGCCATTCTAACAGGTATGAGGTGATATCTCATTGTGGTTTTGATTTATATTTCTCTGATGATTAGTGATGTTGAGCATTTTTTCATGTGCCTGTTGGCCAACTGTAATGTCTTCTTTGGAAAAATGTCTATTCAAGTCCTCTGCACATTTTTAAATTGGGTTGTTTTTGTTGCTGTTGAGTTGCATGAGTTCTTTGTATGTTTTGGATATTAACCGCTTGTTGGATACAGCATTTGCAAATATCTCCTCCCATTCAGTAGGTTTCCTTTTCATTTTGATTTCCTTTGCCATGCAGAAGCTTTTTATGGTTTGATGTAGTCCCACTTGTTCATTTTTACTTTTGTTGCCTCTGCTTTTGGAGTCATCCAAAAAAATCATGACCAAGACTGATGTCTTAGAGTTTACTGCCTGTTTTCTTACAGGGATTTTATGGTTTCAGGTCTTATGTTCAAGTCTTTAATCCATTTTGAGTTAATTTTTGTGTATAGTGTAAGACAGTGGTCCAATTTCATTCTTTTGCCTGTGGCTGTACAGTTTTTCCAACACCGTTTATTAAAGAGACTGTCCTTTCTCCACTGTATAACCTTGGCTCCTTTGTCATAAATTAATTGACCATATATGCAAAGGTTTATTTCTGGACCCTCTATTCTATTCCATTGATTTAGGTGTCTGTTTTTATGCCAGTACCATACTGTGACTTACTTCTTAACAATAGAATATGGTGGGATAACTGTGACTTCCAAGGCTAGTTCATAAAAGGCACTGTGGCTTCCTCCTTGCAGCCTCTCTTGGATTACTTTCTCTGGGACGGTGCCATATCAAGCAGTCCCGTGCAAAGGCCCACATGATAAAGAACTGAGGCCTCCTGACAAGAGCCAGAACAAACCTGCCAGACGTTGAGTAACTCCCAGTTGATTCTTCAGATAACTACAGCAATGGCCAATGTCTTGACTGTAAGCTCATGAGACCCTGGGCCAGAACCACCCAGCTAAGCTGCTCCCAAATTCCTGGCCCACTGAACCTATGAGATAATAAATATCTGTTGTTTAAGCCTCTAAGTTCTGGGGTAATCTGTTATACAGCAATAGATAACTAATACAGATTCTGATACCTAGAAGTGAGTACTGCTGTAACAAAAACCTAAAATGTGGGAGTAGCTTTGGAACACAGCAGAGGGCAGAGTTGGAAGGACTTTGAGGAGAGAGTGAGTAAAAGTTTGAAGAGCCTTTAAGAAATTGTAGAAGCATGATGGCTTTTGAGGAAGTTATAGGTGAGTACTTAAGGGAAAGTGAGAAAAATCTTTTTGGAAATGGGAGGGAAAGGGATCTTTGTTATGTAGTGACAAAAGCTGTTGCCTGACATAACATGGAAAGTAGAAGTTGTGGCTCATGAATGGGGTGATAATGTAGCTAACAAGATTTCCAGACAGGAGTGTTGAAGGTTCCTTTTGACTTCTTCTTGCTGTATTAAAATGCAAGAGAAGAGGAATAAATTAAAGGAAGAATAGTTAAAAAGGAGTTAAGACTAGATAATTCTGAAAATTCCTGGCCTCTCCAGATGGCAAATGATACTAAAATTAAGAAATGGCTTTAAAAAAAAAGAAAGAAATGGTTTCTGAGCAAAGATCAAATCATGGGCATTGCCAAGAAAATGGTTAAAGAGGAAGCCAAGAGCGTGGCTATAAAAATTCTTTGTTAAGACCTCAGAAAGAGGGGCTTCCCTGGTGGCGCAGTGGTTGAGAATCCGCCTGCCAATGCAGGGAACACGGGTTCGATCCCTGGTCCGGGAAGATCCCACATGCCGCGGAGCAACTAAGCCCGTGCGCCACAACCACTGAGCCTGTGCTCTAGAGACCGCAAGCCACAACTACTGAGCCCACACGCCACGACTACTGAAGCCCGTGTGCCTAGAGCCTGTGCTCCGCAACAAGAGAAGCCACTGCACTGAGAAGCCTGCGCACGGCAACGAAGAGTAGCCCCCACTTGCCGCAACTAGAGAAAGTCCGTGCGCAGCAACGAAGACCCAATGCAGCCAAAAATAAATAAATTTAAAAAAAAAGAAAAGACCTCAGAAAGTTCACATAGTGCCTAGAGAGCTATTCAATTAAACAACTGAGCTTCTAAGAAGCTTAAATGTGTTGTATTAGTTTCCTAGGGCTGCCGTAACAAATTCCCACAAACTGGGTAGCTTAAAACAACAGGAATTTATTCTCTCACAGTTTTGGAAGTCAGAAATCTGAAACTGAGATGCTGTTAGGGTTAGTTCCTTCTGGAGTCTCTAAGAGAGAATCTATTCCATGCCTCCCTCCCAGCTTCTGGTGGTTTCCAGCAATCCTTGCTGTTTCTTAGCTTGGCGACACATTATTCCAATCTCTGCCTCAGTCGTCATACGACTTTCTTCTGTGTCTTCTGTATCCAAATTTCTCTCTTCTTATAAAAACACCATTGGATTAGGGGCCACTCTAACCCAATATGATCTCATCTTATTTTGATTACATGTATAAAAGATCTTATTTCCAAATAAGGTCACATTCACAGGTACTGGAAGTTAGGACTTGAACATTTCTTTGGGGGTGGGGGGGATATAATTCTATCCCACTACAAGTATTGTCCTTCAGCAATCCCAGCAGAAGCCCAAGGTAAAAAAGAGATTATATAAAAAAGATTTGTGAGCATAAGTTTTGTTAATGGCATGAATCTCAATAATAGTAAAAAGAAACACTGCCAGCTTAAACTGAAAGGTACAGAGGCAGTACAAAATGAAAAGAGACCCTTTGGGCCCTCAAAATTCTACAGGCAAGAAGCAGGCTAAGAAAACTATGAAGTTGCAAATCTGGACTACTTTTTATGGAAAAGAATGACTCATAGGGTGGAATCAAGAGCCAGGAAGGAGGAAACAAGAGCTACAGAGAAGCATTCCTGGGCAGAAGTAGAACTAAGTCCTAATCAAGGAACGTCCAACACTTATCCAGACAAACATTAAAATTGCTACGCATCAGTGACTTCTTTGTGCCTTTCATCTTCTCCCTTTTTAAACAGAAATCTCTATACCTGTTTATTATACGCCTGTCCCATCACTATATGTTGGGTATATATGAGGGGTAGAAAACTTGCCTCTTTGGTTTATAGATCTCCACATCAAAAGGAATTATGTCTGAGGAACTACACGCAAAGAGACTCATCCACACTTGGACTTAAGTAAATGACAACCACCTGGATTTCAAGTTGATGCTGTACAGGGACAAGACTTTTGGTGGGTCTTGGGAGGAGGTGAATGTATTTTGCACATGGGGGAAATATAAGTAATTTCTGGCCAAAGGTTAAACTGTGGTAGTTTTCAAATATGTCCACAAATTCTTTAATACGCCTCCCCTTTAAGAGGCAGAGCTTAATTCTCCTCCCCTTGAATGTGGACTGGACTTAGTGACTCACTTCTTACAGATAAAGTGTGGCTGGAAGGACAGTGCTTGGCTTCCAAGATCAGGATATAAAAAGGCTTTACGGTTTTTCCCTTCTTCCTTTCTCTCTCTTGGATCACTTACTCTAGGGGAAGCCAGCTGCCAAG